TATAATTTTTTTTGACATATAAGTTATTTAGAAATGTCTTTAAATTTCTAAAATGTTTTAGGATTAAAAATGATCTTTTGTTATTAACTTCATATTTAATCTTCTTGAGGTCAGAGAGCATGATCTGTAGGAGAATGATTTTTCTGAAATTTACTGAGACTTGTATTATAACCTAGTACATGATTATTTTGGGAAGTAAATGGTCCATATGCACTTGAAAAGAATGTGATTTTCCAATTGGATATAGATTTCTACATATGTCCACCAAATCAAGCTTATATTGTTGTTCAACTTGTCTATGTATTTACTAATTTTTTATCTCCTTGTGCTATTAATAACTGCAAAGAGGTTATATTAATGTCCCATTTTGATGCTTGATTTTTCAATTTCTCTCTAGTGTACTTAATCTTCCTTTATATATTTAGAAGTGTTTTTATGAGTGCATACAGGTTTATTTACTCTATGTACTAATTTTCTTTATTATTATAATGCTTTTATTGTCTTAAAGTTTTATTGTATAGGTGTTAATATAGCTGACCCAACTTTCTTTGGGTTGGCATTTACCTGGTATATCTTTTTCCATATTTTTTATTTTCAATCTTTCCTCATCTTTGTTTTAGATGTGTCCCTTGTAAAATGGCACATAGCTGGATTTTTAAAAATTTTATACAATCTGTTAACCTCTGAATTTTAACAGGTGAGTTTTGCTCATATATTTTTTTAAGTTTATTGATATATTGGAGTTTGTTTTTACCATCTTCTTTTTTATATTTGTCTCATTTTTTTCCTATGCTTTACTTTTTCTCCTTGCCTCAGAAATTTTTTATCATCCTGTTTTCTTCTCCACACTACTGATTGTGCAAGATTGCATCTCAAGTGAACTGGCTGGCAACAGGGTTAGTGTTTGAAATAGCAACCCATGGTCCAAAGAGGGGTTGGGGTGGGATATGACTTTTCTGAAAGGAGTCAGATTGGCAAGTAATGGGAGAGGAGGTGGGGAGCTGAGGAAGTCATGAGTGGTGTATTCTTTACAAGTGTGAAATAAAGATGTCTGATGGGAACTGGAAGAAAGGGAAATGGGAGTGTGAGATCAATGAAGGCTTAAAAATAGAACCTGAAAAGACTAGGAAAAGGAACTGGACTAAGGGCAAGTAAAAAGACTCATGAGTAACACAAAGGGTTCAGCTGAGGTTGGAGTCTGAGGATTATGTAGGACTTGGGTATAGGAGCATATAAGGCAAGACTATATTATTGGTACAGGTTTGGGATTTTGATGGGCAGATGCAACAGAGGGATGAAGGTATATGCATATGGAAGATACTGGTGAGAGTAGTTCAAATGTTGAGCCATCTGGAGACCAGAATGGGTTGGAAAGGAAAATAAGTAGGAATCAAGTAGAACAAGAGAAAATGGGACATGGGCTCAAGAGACTGTGGTCTTGATTAGGTTGCAGAATAGGTATAGTGAGAGTGTGCTATGGTCAGAAAATGGGGATTCCTGAATTTAAGATTTTAGAAGAAGGCAATTCTGGTTGTTCAAGTCCATGAGAGAGAAAAACAAGAGATATACAGTATTAGCAGTTCCATTGTCTTATGGTGCTATCTTTATTTCCTCAAGGATTTTCTTACTTCCCTGGATTTTGATGTTACTTGGTCTCATTATTGTGCCAATGTGCCTATCTCATCACAGAACTCTGCTGCCACTCCACAAATCTGACTTCATTCTCATTTCCAATGTGCCAGTAGTGCCATCTTTAGTCTTTAACTGCCAGGCAATTGGTGATATCTATTTTATCCATGAACTGCTGATATTTTGGCCAGTGCTTCACTCATAATCACCCATATGAGAATCAATTTGTACAATGCTTTTAATTGCCCTGTTCAATATTTTGTAATTGTTTTGGCCATGATCCTGCCTGGACAGGGCCAGTAGAGCACTAGCTCTAGAATCAGATTGCCTGGGCTTGAATCCCAGCAACTTCAGTTGCTTTTTGTTTATTAATGGGCAAGTTAACCCAACCTCTCCTGGGTCCTCATCTATAAAATGGGATAACAATAGTACTTCATTCTTGGGGTTGTTGTGAGGATTAAATTAGTTAATATATAAAGTACTTGTTGCCTGGCATATAGTAAATTCTCAATAAATGGAACTGGTGGGATGATGATAGTGATGATGATCAACAATAGTGGCAGCATATGCAGCACTATGTGCCAAATATTGTGTTAGGTGGTGGGCCAGATACATAGAAGAATATTGAAAAAGTCTTTGTTCTCACAGTGTGTATATATTCTCCATGGGTATAAGAACTAAGAATTCTTGGGGCACCTGGGTATCTCAGTTGGTTAAGTGTCTGACTCTTGGTTTCCACTCAGGTCATCATCTCACGGTTAGTGGGATCAGGCCCTGCATCAGGCTCTGCGATGACAATGCAGAGACTGCTTGGGATCCTATCTCCTTCTCTTTCTGCCCCTCCCCTGCTCACACTCTGTCTCTCTCTCCAAATAAATAAATAAATAAATAAATAAATAAATAAACATTAAAAAAAGAACTAATCATTCTTCCTCAAGATTATCTAAGAAAGGGTCTATGAAGGAAGCTTAGTATCTTATAGTTCAGTAAAGACCAGGAAATAGCCAAGTCAAGAGACTGTTGAGGTTTCAGGAACCTTGTAACTGTGCTGTGTTGTTTATACTCTCAATTGTCCTGTAGGTAATTAGTAAAACAAAACAAAAGAGTGAAAAAGGGCTCTTGGTCTAGTTTCAAGGGGGAGCAGAGAATGTAAATATGGGCCTCACTTCCTTTCTCACTGGGTCTACCCTGAACTCTTTGACTCCCGTGACTACCAAATCTATACTTTCAGATTCAGTCTCTCTTCCTGAGGACCAGCCCTGTACCTCCAACAATTTTCTGGGTCTAATTACCTGGATGTCCTGTATATAGTACAAACACAATTATGACTAAAATGAAACTTCTTGCCTTACTTCCATACCTGTTTCTTCTCTTATAGCTCTTATCACAGTTAAGATTATCACTAATCTACCAGTTGATAAACCCAGACATGCAAGGTGGGCATCTTTGACTTTGTCTTCCTTCTTCATCTTCTTAGTCACTCCATTCTGTCAGTTCTGCTTTGCAAACTTTATTCTCTGTTCTTTGTCTTGCTGCCCTGGTTTACACCTGCCCTGTAGCAGATTCATCAAGTATGTGTATTCCAAACATGTGTTCCAAATATTGTGATTAATTAACACACATTATTTCATTTTCTTGAGAACTTTTTGAGATAGGTCATTTTTGTGAATGAGAAACCAGAGGGTGACGGAAATAAAATGGCTTGCCAATTTGGTTAGAGGCACACTTAGTAAACTGAAATTGTCTTGTCTGGACTATTACAATAATCTTCCTGTCTCTTCTGAATTTTCTTTTTTGGTATTTAAAAGTAAGACACTTTTATGTAAAAAAAATCATAACCATACAAAGCAAAAATTAAACGTTGCCCCTCCCAATTGTAGTCCCCAAGAAAAACCAATGATCATGGTTTTTGTTCCAGACCTTTTTTCTCTACATATGCAAATGTATGGATAAATACTTTATCAAAGGTATCATTCAGTATAGTCCTGCAACTACCTTTTTTTCCACTCCAAGATGCATCTTCATACAGATCTACCACATTTTTTAAATGGTTGCATAATATGCGGTTATATGGAAGTATTATTTTGTTTAAAGAACTATTTTGTTTTGCTCTTACAAATGTTGCAGTAACATTCTTGTGTATATACCCTTGTATGCACATCTATATGGGTATTTCCATCAGGTACATTCTTAGAAGTGATATTGCTTGGCTAAGGAATGTACATATTTTACAATGTGTTATGTACTTCCAAATTGAACTTCAATTTGTCCTTTGAATCAGTCTTTCATACTACAGCTAGAGTGATTTCTGCAAGATGAATTTGATCACGTGATTTCTCAACATCAAAAACAAAGCAACAATAAAGATGTTTGATGGATTTCTATTGTCTGTGTAATAAATTTAAAAATTCTTAATTTTTAAGAGTGAGAGTTATAAAATTTAGCCCCCCCATCTTTGCTACCATTTCCCCCCACCAACAAAAATTTACTGTTTTATAATGAAAAATACACCTCTATGTAAAACCTACCATGTATACAAATCTTTCTCTTCTCTCTCTATGCAAGATAGAATTAGTTATTTTCTTCTTTAGGTTCCCATAGCATTGAATTTATTATCCCTCTCATAGCACTTAGTACATTGTGCTGTTTTTATGTGTATCTGTCTCCCCTACTAGTCTGTGGACTTCTTAAGGACAGGAATTGTGTCTAACTCATCTCTATATACCTAGCACTTTGCACAATGCCTGTCAGAGTGGGTGCTTAACAAATGTGTGAAGACATGCTTGAAGTAGTGACAGCAATAAGAATTTTGGGAGATAGAATAGCTTATGGAAGTTTTGTAGTGTAGCATGAAGCTGAGTCCTGAGAACGTGGAAGCTGGTCAGGAAAGGAGAAATGGCTTCAACTGGCAGGAGTCCCCATGTGGTTTTCTCCTCTACTACAGAGACCATCTGTCTGATTATTTGGATTAATACACTTGGGATGTGAGAACATTTAAAGTATTGAAAATTGGATGATTGAGGATCCACTTGGTAGAGGGGGAGTTTGACTCAGGTGTTCTGTGCTTATTCCAGACTAAGTGGCTTATGCTGAAAGACTCAACCCTTTTTCTTCAAAAATCAAAGCCTCTTCATTTTCAGGGCAGGATTCAGGTGGGAGTAGGAATAGTAAATAGGTCAGCTACTTCAACGTTGTGTTTTTATCCTGACTTAAGGGGAAAGTAACCTATTAAAAGGCCCTAGGGCTGTGGTCTACTCTGGAGTAAATTATCTGTGTGAAATTAGTTCTTATCTTATTTCAGGCAACTCTGGTAACTCTGCTGGTCTGATTGCTTTGAAGAAAGAAGAGTAGAAGAAAAAATAGAATAAATCATGTCAGAGATACTTGACCTCTCTTTTTTGTCTGAGGTGGAGAGGGATTTGATCCTCAGTGTTCTACAACGAGATGAGGAGCTCCGGAAAGCAGATGAGAAAAGGATTAGGTAAGAGTTCCAGAAAAAAGCATGAGTTCCCAGACCTTTGACCAGTTTTATCTGAACCTCTCCTTACACCTCCCATGTGACTTTCAGAGGAACATGTGTGAGGTTTACAATTCCTCACTGGGTCACGTTGGGCTCTGAAGTTGTTGCTTTCACAGAACCAAATAGTCTTACTGTCTCTGCCCCTCAACATTTCTCCATCCAACCTGTGCAGATCGCAAATGTGCTTGTGCTTCTGTTTGGGGTCTTGGCAGGCGACTGAAGAATGAGTTACTGGAGATAAAAAGGAAAGGGGCCAAGAGGGGAAGCCAGCACTATAGTGATCGGACCTGTGCTCGGTGCCAGGAAAGCCTTGGCCGTTTGACTCCCAAGACCAACACTTGTCGGGGCTGTAATCATCTGGTATGTCGGGACTGCAGAATCCAGGAAAGCAATGGTACCTGGAGGTGCAAGGTGTGCGCCAAGGAAATGTGAGTATCACCTATGGAGAGAGGAAATGAGGCCCCTGCTATGGTGAGAATTTCCCTCCTTGGCCTTTGTTAGCTGAATGATGAGGGCCATTTTTTTTAAAATTCATCTGTCATTTTCTTCTATGCCTTCCCAGAGAGCTGAAGAAGGCAACTGGTGACTGGTTTTATGACCAGAAACTGAATCGCTTTGCTTACCACACAGGCAGTGAGATAATTAGGATGTCCCTGCGCCGTAAACCCTCAGGTACTGATCTTCCTGGAATTTTTTTTTTTTTTTTTGAGGTGCTTAACTTCAGTGATAGATCCTCTGGTGTGAAATCCTATTATGTTCTTACTGGTGGTAGTTTCACTTCATGGGCTCTGGGGGCGGGGGTGTAATATAAAGATAATACTGCCATCCCGTCTGCAAGTGTAATGTATTTCCCTTCCCCTCTCATCACCACCACCCTGCCATGCTTTTGTTTGTCTTGAAGTGAATAAAAGAGAGACAGTGGGACAGTCCCTTCTTCATCAGTCACAGATGGATGATATCTGGCCAGGAAGAAAGATCATTCAGGAGCAACAGAAGGAGCCCAGGTAAGAACTAGCAATCACTTTCAGAAATGCTACACATCCTTTTAATTCTATCATTTTTAACTTTCTTCTATTTAGAAAATAATAGTTGCTTATTACAGGAAAATTTGGAAAGTACAGAAAAGAATAAAGAAGGAGGGAAAAAATCCTAATCTCACTACCCACATGTAAACATTAACATTTTCTCATATTTACTGTGTTCTTTTAAGAACAATTTAAAGATGAATAAAAATGACACATACTTATTATTAAAAATTTAACTAGTATAGGAAACAATAAAGAAAGCAACAAATTGCCCAAATTCCTACTACCACAGTATTCACATGTAAAAATTATTTCCAATACCTTTTGTGCATATATATAGATAGAAGGATGGGTGGGTAGACTGAAAAATCTGCATTATATTAGATCATAATATATACATTAAAAGCATGCTATTTAATTTTACTTGAATTTAACAGAATAAAACACTGAAATAAAATTGAAGAATTGCTAATCTTCAAATGTTTCTTTACCATAAAAGATATTAGTTATTAACATCCCACTAAGTTTAAGAAAAAAAATATAAAAACCATTGAACAATCATTTTTTTCCTAGTATCTTTTTGGCAACAGCCTTATTGAAATACAATTCACATAACCATACAATTCACCCATTTATAGTGTATAATGCAGTGGTTTCTAATATGTTCACAGAATTGTGAAACCATCACCTCAATTGATTTTAGAACTTTTCATCACCTTAATAAAAAACCCTGTACTCTTTAGTTGCCACTCCCCCAACTTCCTTTTCCTTCCCCGTCCCTCAACAATCACTGGTCTTCTTTCTATCTCTGTATTTGCCTATTGTGGACATTTCATTTCAATGGAATCAAAGACTATGTGGTCCTTTGTGACTGTCTTCTCTCACTTAACATAATGTTTTCAGGGTTCATCTATGTTATAGCATGTAGCAGGACTTCATTTCTTTTCATTGACAAACAGTATTCTATTATATGTATATGCCATATTTATCCATTCATCTGTAGATGGGCATTTGGGTTGTTTTCACTTTTTGGCTATTATGAGTAATGCGGCTATGAACTTTCACTGTGAGTTTTTGTATGAACATACATTTACATTTTTCTTAGGTAGATACCTAGCAGTGGAGTGCTTGGCCAGTCATTTAGTCATTTAAAAAATCTACCTGTTTCAATAATATCAGTGGACTGTCTTCTATGAAAGAGGAGGAAATTAGCTTTCTTACACTTCCTACCAATGCTTTCCCCTACTTCCTTTTTTTATTACTCAAATTACTTTTACTTTGTTAGCACTTATAACATTTACATCCTGCTGTGCAACCATAAATCATCTGCTGGTTTTTAATTTTTTTAATGTTTATTTTTGAGAGAGAGAGCACACACGTGCCCACAGGAGCCCACACGAACAAGTGGGGGAGGGGCAGAGAGAGAGGAAGATACAGAATCCGAAGCAGGCTCCAGGCTCTGAGCTATCACCACAGAGCCTGATGCGGGGCTTGAACCCACAAACCGTGAGATCGTGACCTGAGCCGAAGTCAGATGCTTAACGAACTGAGCCACCCAGGCGCCCCTGAATTAAATCTTTCTTCTGTTTTCATAGCCATGACTTTTTGAACTTATGACTTGACACTTTACTCCTTATTTGGCTGCTGCTGGTGAATTGTTTTGGCTTTTATTTGTGTTTTTCCCCTACATTTCCTTCAGCCAAAGAGAAATAACTTAATCATATTTTATATGATTGTTGAAAAGCAATATAATATAGAAATATGTAAAATGAGTCCCCTGTAGCCTCACTGCTTCTGCCCCCAGCTATTATCATTAATAGTCATTACTAGTTTTGTTGTATGGACTACCATAACTGTCTAAATGTATAAATATGGATTGGATTCTTATATTTTTCATTTCTTTTTTAAAAAGGATTATACTACATACATGTTAATAAATGATAATAAATGAAAGAGAAAGAACTTTGAAAACTCCATAATATAGATAATTCAGTAGAAAATTGGCAAAGTATTTGAACAGACATTTTTCCAAAGACACTATATAGATGTCAAATGATGCTCAACATCTTTAATTATTAGAGAAATGCAAATTAAAATCATAATAGGATACTACTGTATACCCACTAGAATAGCTAAAATTAAAAAACAGACCATACCAATTGTTGGTGAGAATGTAAAACAACTGGAATTTTCATACACTGCTGGTGGGAACGTGGAACAGTACAGCCACTTTGAAAAACAGTTTAGTAGTAGTTTACTTAAATGTGCACTGCCTTGTCATTCAGCCATCCCATTCCTCAGTATTTACTCCAGAGAAGTGAAAGCGTATTTCCATGCAAAGACTTGTACGTGAATATTCATAGCAGCTTTATTTGTAATAGCCAAATGCTGGAAACAACTCAAATGTCTACCAATAGGGTAAAGGGATAAATCGTGGCTTATTTTTACAGTGGAATACTACTCAACAATGGAAAGGAATAAACTATTGATACAAAGAACAAAGAGACAAAAAACAACAAACAAAAAATAGAAGCTATACTGTATGATTCTACTTATATAAAATTCTAGAATATGCAATCCAAATTTTAGTGGCAGAAAGCAGATCAGCACTTTCTGTCTGGGGTCAGGTAGGGAGTGAGGAATGGATTATGAAGGAACAAGACGTAGCTTTTAAGAGTGATAGATGTGTTCACTAACTTAATTGTGGTAATGGTTTCACAAGTGTCTGTATATGTTAAAACTCATCAACTTGCACACTTAAACATGTGCAGTTTATTTATGTCAGTTATAACTCAAGGTGTAAATCACAGAAAAATATAACATCGACATCTTTCCATGTCAGCACTAAGGGTCTGGCTCATTCTTTTTGCTATCTGTATGGTATTTCCACACAGCTTTGGGTGGGTGACTCATCTGTTCTAGGTGATGAGGCCCCCTTCTTCCTTTGTGGATAAGGATAAGAATGGCTTTTATTTCCTGAATCTGATGAACACATCTGACATCATCGGTCAGAATGTAATTTCTGAAACCTGCTGCTTCTGGCTGTCTATGACCTCTTGTCTCATTGGACCCAGAAGACTTATTTACCATAAACATGGAAGCAGATTAAGTGGCCATAAATGATCTTTGCCATAAAATTATGGAGCCGCAGAGGTAATCAAATTCAGCCCTCTTATTTTTACAGAAAAGAAAGCAAGATAAGTGATTTACCTGAGATTATACAGATAGTTAGAGCCCAGGACTAATCTCGTAGTCTACTTTTTACTGCACAGATGTCAATAATTGCCTTTTTTCCCCAGGGTTATTTGTATCATCTCTGAGTTAGTACATGTTAATATTTAGGAAAAATACAAGCAGAAAACACACTCCATGAGTTATTGTTCAACTACCTCTCTAGAGGAATGGTTCCTCTTTGGGTTCTTTATTCTTTGGAACAAAGGGGGGAAAAGTGATTCTAAAGTAAAAATGAAATCAACTTCTCTGCTGTGCCTTAGACTATAAAGCTAATACATCTCTCAAGAAATGACTACTGTTTCATGCACACCCTAGGATTTCAAACCCTGCTGTTTTCATGAAGTTATTGCAAACATCATGTGATAACCTGGAAAGTTTATTATTTACTGCCTAAAACATTATAGATTCTGGTTACCTTGTTCTTTGTTCATTTAATAGTTCACTCATTTTTTAAACAAATATCTATGAATACCTACTATTTGCCAGGCACCATTTTAGGCAGTGGGATACATTGGTAAATACAATAAAGTCCCTTGCTTGTGGAGCTTAGATTTGGGGGTGGATGGACACAGACAGTAATCAAATAAATATATCATATCAGATGTTGACAAGTGCTATGAAGAAAATGAAGTAGGCTAAAGGGATAGGGAGTGCCAAGAAAACGTGTGTATATATGCTATTTCACTTAGCGTAACCAGGGAAAAGTCTTAATAACAAGGTGACATCTGAGCAAAGACATGAAGCAAATGAGGGAGGAAGCAATTCCTGGGAGTACATGGGGGGAGTGCACTGTGGGCAGAGAAAGCAGAAGATATAAAGACCCGAAGGTGAGTTTGTATTTGGCACGTTTGGGTAATCTGGAACTGAATGGGCAAGGGGAGAACAGTAGGAGATGAGGACAGAGAAGGGATGAGAAGCAGATCATGTAAGACTTTGTTGGCACCTGTAAGGACCCTGTCTTTCACTCCGCATGAGGAGGAGTCTGAATGACGTGATCTTTTTCTCTTTGTTTAAACTGAGGTAAAATTCACATAACATACATTAAGCAGTGGCTCCCCATTTTCTCCAGTCTCTAGTCTGCTTTCTAGAGACACCAGATTTGCCTATTCTGGATCTTTCATATAAATGGAGTCATGCAAAATGTGTCTTGCTTATTTCACTTAGCATAATATTTTCAAAGTTCATTCATCTTGTAGCATGTATCAGAAGTTTCTTTCTTTTTATTGACAGTAAAGTTTCATTGTATGAATATACTATATTTTGTTTATACTTTCACCCATTGGTGGACATTTACACTGTTTCAACCTGTTGGCTATTATGAATAATGCTGCTATGAACATTCATGTACAAGTTTTTGTGTGGACATTTGTTTTCAGTTCTCTTTGGTATATACCTAGAAGTGGAATTGCTGGGTCATATGGTAATTCTATATTTGGACTTATATGTTAAAAGCTCATTTTGACTGCTGTATTGAGGATAGATTGTATAGGGACAAGGGTAGAAGTAGGGAGTTCAGTCAGGAAGCTATTGTGATCATCCAGTATCTAGATGATGGTGGTTTGGACCAAAAGTAGTGGCAGTGGGGGATGAGAACTGGTCAGATTCTACATACAATTGAAGATAGAGCCAAAGAGTGCCTGGGTGGCTCTGTCAGTTAAGCATTCGACTCTTGATTTTGGCTCAGGTCATGATCTCATGTTTCATGAGTTTGAGCCCTGTGTCAAGCTCCACACTAGCAGTACAGAGCCTGCATGGGATTCTCTGTCTCCCTCTCTCTCCCCCTTCCCTGCTCATTCTCTCTTTCTCTCAAAATAAATAAATAAACATTAAAAAAAGAAGAGAGAGCTAAGAGTATCTGCTAACAGATTGTATTTGTATTGTGAGGGAGTAAGGAGAGTCAAGGAAAATTAAGATCCTTGACCAGAGAATGAAAGGAGGAAGTTGTCAGTTGATGAAATTGAGGGGATAGCAGATTTGGGGGAGGATTAGGGACTTAATCTTGTACTTGTTGTCTTTGAGATATCCAAACAGAGATGTGAAGTAGGCTATTGGAAATACCAGCCTGGCATTTGAGTGAGAGATAAATTTAGGAATTATTAGTTTATAGAGGATATTTAAAGCCATGAGACTAGATGAGATCATTTAGGGATAATTCTAGATATTGAAGAGAAGCAGTCTAAGGAATAAGCCTGGACATAGTCCAAAAATTAGAGGTTTAGGAGATGAAGGACCAGCAAAGGAGCCTCAGAAAGAGACCCCAGCAAGGTCAGAGGACCAGGAGAGTGTCATGTCCTGGGAGTCAAGTGAAATTAGTTGAGATTCTTGAGGAAGAATGATTTTTCCCCTTTTCTTAACTGCTCTCACAAATTCCTTGAGTCCCAGGAATTGTGTTCTTCCCTTTAGAGATGAGAACTGCTGTTTTGAATGCCCATTCATTAAGCCGAGAAAGAATTCTGGTCTTCTGAATACTGTCTTTGAAACATACTAGTTATTTATGTGTATACATTAAGCCCCACTGAGAACATTCGGTCAACCAATATATGAGTGCCTCCCTGTACGGTAATTTCTCTTCTAGGCATTGGGAACACAGCAGTGAATAAGATTTGTAGTCACTGATCTCACAGAACTTAGTCTAATGGAGGAGAAAGACATTAAATAAATCATTTGTTTAAATTATTGAATAAATTAAATAATTTGAAAGACATAAATAATTACGTATGTGATGACTGCTACCAAGAAATCAGGGTGCTTTAGGAGCATATAAGAAGGTTACTAATCTAGACTTGGAGTGGGGGCATAGTCAGAGAGACCTAGAGGAATTGACATACAAGGAGAGACCTGAAGAAGGAGTTGATTTAGCCAGGTGAAGAAAAGTGCTCATCATACAAAGAACATCCCAGGAAGAGACAAGATTAAAAGGGAGAACTTTGGCATGGTCAAGGAACCAAAAGAGCTTAATGCTTCTGGAAATGTAAAGTATAAGGAGAGGTTGAGGGTGAAAGATGAGTCTGGAGAGGTGAGCAGGGGTCAAAATCATAAGGATTTTCTTGCCATGCTGAGGAGTTTTAACTCAATTCCAACAGCAATGAGGAATTGCCGAAAAGTTTTAAAAGTATATACTCAGATATTTATCTTAGGAAGATCGCTTAGGCTACCACTGTGAATGGGTTGGAAGGAAGCTTGACTCCCAGCAGGAGAGCCCACTTTCTTTACACATTGGCTCTTGGTTTTTATTCTAGCGTGTCATTTGAAGTGCCCAAGCTGAAAAGTGGAAAGAGTGCACTGGAGACTGAGAATGAGAGTCTGGATAGCTACACTGCTGACTCGGATAGCATGTCAAGGTGAAACCCCTGCGAGTCTCTGCACTTCTGCTCAACTGAAGTCTCCATTTTGTTGTCCAGCTCAGGATGCATGGGTCCTGTGCCTTCAGTGTTCCTGACTTCTGTCCTCAGCAAGTCAAACGAAGTATTTTCTCTGACCTTGCCACAAGTTTGTCAGTAGTACATTTACTGTTGGTTTTGAGCACAGCCTTCTGGAGCATGCTAACTTCCACAGGCTGCTGCATCTTGGAGGAGTCTTCCTGGACCAGTAGCAACTGTCCCTGATGTCCCTTAGGAGGGGGGGAGTGAGTGCTTCTGTTTGTGCAAAGTTGCTTATCTAATTGTTTGCATTCCTTCAAGGTAAATCAGATGTGAAGTTTACCTTCTGGATTTGGTTACTACAATCACCCCAAGCCAGTGGATCTCCTTCCATAGAGCTTCCATAGATGGGGAAGGTGAGGAGGTGATTTTGTTATAACTTCTGTATCTACCTCCAGGAGAGACTCTCTGGATAAATCTGGACTCTTTCCAGAATGGAAGAAGATGTCTGCACCCACATCTCAAGTAGAAAAGGTAAGCTTTAGGTATTGGTCCGTTGGGGTCTCTCTCTCTCTTCTCTCTTTCTTTTTCCCTTCTCAGGAATAGTTTACATCAAGAATTCAGTTAAATGAATTTTAGTTCAGATTCACTTGGGAGCATTTAAGGTTTGGTTGAAACATGTGAGAAAATAGGTTTTGTACTACTTCCTAGGATTAAATTCCTAAGATTAAATTAATCTTTCCTTTAACTTTGCATAATTTAGCAAAAGTCTGAGCCTTATTTTTTTTTTAATTTTTTAACATTTATTTATTATTGAGAGACCAAGACAGAGCATGAGCATGGGAGGGGCAGAGAGAGGAGGAGACACAGAATATGAAACAGAGTCTGAGCCTTATTCTTAAGTCAATTTTTTCCTTATTCATCCTCCACCTACCCAGCAGTCCTTTTCCATTTCCTGGCCCTCATTCCTTCCTAGGAAACTCAGCCTGGGGGTCAAAATGCAGTATCAATTGATGAGGGTGAAATGATATTTAAGAAGAACACCAGAAAAATCTTCAGGCCTTCAGGTAGGTTTCCCTTCATGGCCTTAGAGATTGAAGTTCTCAATACCCTGGATGGGTTCTTGGTACGGAGAAGAGTACGTTTCTTTTGATTTGGGTTTTTGCTCTTCCACTCAGAATACACTAAATCTGTTATTGATCTTCACCCGGAAGATGTGGGACATGAAAGTGGTTCCTTGGGAGACAGAAGCAAATCTGTCCCAGGCCTCAGTGTAGATATGGTAAGTACCCTTGTATTTCACTTGTCCACTCTATGAAATTTTATAAATCTAGAGTTGACCTTAGTACTTGATACTCTTAATCAACCTAATTCTTTAGGAAAGGGCAACATGAATCTTTATTGTAAAGTAAATCTTGTTGCTGAATTGCTTAAAGAAAAATACTGTCTTCATTGTCTCTTTCATCTTCAAATACATTGCTTGATATATAGTTGGGGTTCAAATAAATACTTATTTTGATTCAAATGTAAAGGGGTGGTTGAGTTGGGCAGACAAATGAGAAAAAGATATTCTTATTGTCTTTAAATTTGAGAAAGATGGTTGGAATATAGTTTGGAAACCTGAAATGGGAGACACAAAATAAGGATATGTGCATGCATGTGTACATGACACCTCAGAGTTTAGCAATAATTATGGCTCCCACCAAAGGAAGTTCATTAGTCTTTGAACTTTTTCTCATTTTATTAACCCTGAATCTATATTTATTGTTCCAGGAAGAGGAAGAGGAAGAGGAAGAAGAAGACATTGACCATCTGGTGAAGCTGCATCGCCAGAAGCTAGCCAGAAGCAGCATGCGAAGTGGTTCGTCCATGGTAAGTTCTAGTGGTTCTGTGGCTATAGACATGTTTGGGTACCAGGAATGAAGGAAGTATCTCTCTAGAGCAGAGTCAGGACCTGGGAATCATCCTAGTCACTCTTTCCAGGTAAGTGAGATACATTTGTTTATTCATATCCTCAGTTTAGATAATAGTTGCTTAGTGCACAGCTAGGTGATTTCCTTCAGCCTCTGCCCTGGAAGTAGTTAGGTAATTTGGTAATTAGGACTAGAGACATTCTTTATCACAGCTTTGTGAACAGTAAACCATAACTTCTCCTCTAAAAAGGTAACAGGCCATGAATTGAGCAAGATAATATTTCTTCATCAGAGCCCACTCCAAATCTCACATTCAAAAGTATTGTCAGGGTGCCTGGGTGGCTCAGTTGGTTAAGCATCCAACTCTTGATTTTGGCTCAAGTCATGATTTCATGCTTTGTGAGATTGAGCCCCATGTTGGGCTCTGCGCTGACAGCTCAGGGCCTGCTTGGAATTCTCTCTCTTCCTCTCTCTCAAAATAAATAAATCAACATTTAAAAGAAAAAGAACATTGTCATGAGGGGACCCTGGCAGGGTTAATTGGCATCAGGGTATGATTAAGGAGTAACAATACAAATCAAAATCATAAAGTTAAAGGGACAGTAAAGAATTAGGGCCTAGTTCTGTCAGAAGTACAAAGATTTGTGTTTAGGGGACACAGAGTCAGGAACCAGAGTGATTAGGGTTTGTTTCTACTTACACACAGGAATAGAATGGCAGGCTTACAGAGACGACTACTACCTGAGAGGAAGAGGTATTTTCACCTCTGGTGGGATTCCTGCCCTCCACCATTCTTAAAGAATCACTTTTTCTATAGGTCTTGATAGGGATATGGTGGATAAAAGAAACCCAAAGATAATTGAGGCACTTTGTTTTAATGAGCAACTGACCCCCTCTAGCCAACATTTTAGTGTATGTAACATATTAAAACCATAGTTTCCTCCTACCTGTACTCCTTGTCTACCTTCTGGGACAAGTGAAAACTAAAAATAAAATTTATAAAAAGCAGGGAAGAAGAGAGACAGAACATAGGTGAGCCAAGAACTGATTATTAACCTCAATAATTATGAGTGTGCTACTAGGCTGTCTCATGCTCTGAGTACAAGCCTATTGGCAGTACTGGCTTATAGCAGGGGCTTCTGAAGCTTTTGTTTTGTTCCATGACTGTGGCTTTATTTTGAAGGAAGATGTGAGCAATGTGGGAGGGGAGTATGCCTTTACCAGATGTTTGTGGGTGCTTTATCTTCAGAGTACAATTGGCAGCATGATGAGTATCTATAGTGAAGCTGGCGATTTTGGAAACATCCTTGTGACCGGCAAGATCGCCTTTTCTCTCAAGTATGAGCAGCAAACACAGACTCTGGTCATCCATGTGAAGGAGTGCCACCAGCTGGCCTGTGCTGATGAAGCCAAGAAGCGCTCTAACCCGTGAGTGCTTCTGGAACCTGACCGATGCTCTGAGATGAGAGCTCAGACCCTGGCATCTATGTGGGCATTCTTGAACTGAGGTTATCACTTCCTGGGCAGACAGGGAGGTGTGACTGAGAGTGGTTAGGAAAGATATGGGAGATGGACCAGGACTGGGAAAATACAAGAAGGACATGTCTAAGAGGACTTGATGTGACATTTTCATTTCATCATGGCATATGTATATGGAAAGCAGAGAAGTGAAGAATGGGCTTCAGAAAAGACAACAAATGACTCCGTTCTCTCTTTGGTCTCTAGATATGTAAAGATTTATCTTCTGCCTGACAAGTCCCGCCAAGGAAAAAGAAAAACCAGCATCAAGCGGGACACTATCAATCCGCTATATGATGAGACCCTCAGAGTAAGTATCTAGACCCTGGGAGTAGAACTTGCCCTGTCTTATGTCTTATGTGGCAATTCCTCTGCTACACAGCTGGTTGACATGGCTTTCAGTGGCCGTGTCTGTTTCTGAAGATGCACCATAGGCATCTGTTCATATACTAACTTCCCAGAGAACAAAGGTGATCTGGCTTTCTTGGATTGTTGTGAAATCGGAGGTTCATGTGACCACAAATATTTTAAAAAGTTGTTTTGGATCAGGAGTTTCTGTGGCAATCCTTTTTGAATGTTCCATTGTTCTTTCATCCAGTCAAGGAAAAATTAATTTTCCAGGTCCTTCCATAGAATAGGGTAGGTTTTTGTGAAATGGGGTAAGTGGAGGCTTTCATGAAGGAAATTCAGAATTCTTAGGGATTAAAGTAATTTGGTATTCAGGATTATGGACTTTGGATATGGTTGCTCAGATTTTTGAATAATCTTTTCTGAGGAATTACCACAAACTAATCATCCTGGGCTTCTTTTTTTCACAGTATGAGATCCCAGAATCTCTCCTGGCTCAGAGGACTTTGCAATTCTCAGTTTGGCATCATGGTCGTTTTGGCAGAAACACTTTCCTTGGAGAGGCAGAGGTCCAGATGGATTCCTGGAAACTTGATAAGAAACTGGATCATTGCTTGCCTTTACATGGGAAGGTAGTCTGCTTTCACAACTTACACAGTTGGCTCTGAGGTAGCATTGTCTACATTGATCTCTGCTAGTACATATTGGTAGCGTCTTTGAATGAAATCTTCTGTAGAGTTCTAGCGCACCCTGCTGGAGCTTCTGAGTTTGACAGTAATTTCAGATGCAATTGTAGGCCAGGCAAAGGATGAAGCCATAGTTTTCCTTTGAAAAGTCTTTCATGTGTGTGCCAAGCTTTGCCTCATAATGTTCCAGAGTTTGGGCATATTCTAACATACTAACTTTCATCTTTTCTCCAAGCTAACCTTTTGGGTGTATCCTAATCTATACTCCTTTTCCAAGCTAATCTTTTTACTAAAGCAGTGGGAAGTAAAGGAATTCATGGAGATCTAATTATTGTGCTCTTTGTCACACAAGCCAGGGACAATTTTACTTTGGAGATGGCATCTCAGGCGAGAATATAGCAGTATGCATTGTAGTGCCTGGGATCTGAGTGCAAACCTGGATTTGAATCCTGGTTCTGTTATTTGCCAGCTGGGTAAGTCACCTCTCTTATAAAATAACTTAGGTAAATCACTTAACTTCTGTGAGTCTTAGTTTACTCATCTACAAAATGGCGATAACAGTGCCTGGCATATAGTGGACATTCAGTAGGTTACTGTCATTCTGGTTAAGATAAGATCGCTAAAACAGAGTTAGGATTTCTTGATAATACGAACTGTTCAATGGAAAAGTTCCTTGGTAAAATTTTTTTACACCACCATTTTAAATGCTAAAAGTAGTATGTGTTACAGAGACTATCTTTGGAAAGATAGATAAGAAGCTAGTAGTAGTGGCTGCCTCTGGGAAGAGAGTGAGATGAGAGAGCAGTTTAGTTTTCTCTGTATGCCCTTCCATGACGTTTGAGCTTTTTACCATGTCTGCATATGTTGCTTAAGAAATTAAGAATAAAAGGATTTCTGTGCACATGGTTAAAAATGAAAACAACATAGAAGTGTATAAAAAGAAAAGTACATTTCATTACCTAGAAATAAACACTGTTATCAACTACTTGGATATCTTCATAGAGATTTGGTATTAAGCAGCATGGATATAAACGTAAGGATTTATATTTTTTTTCCTTTTTATGCAAATAGGCTTATATGAACCTCATCATGTACATGTCTTGAGTGTTTTCGTTTAACAATTGATTATTTATCATGGGCCTCTTTCTATGTCATCACTTACATATCTATCTCATTTTCATTGCTGTATAGTATTCTTTCATGTGCCTGTATAATAAATTGTTTGCTTTCTCTGCTGTTAAAACTATACTGTAATATGTCTTGGCCTTCTTATGTGAATGCAACTATAGAAGAAATTTCTGGTGGTGGAATTGCTGAGTCAGAGGAAAAATACATGCAATATTTTGATAGCTACTGCCCTCCATGGAAAATATTAACAATGTTAAATTTGCCCCTTTAAATACTAATAAAAACAGGAAAACAATTATGACCAAACTATAGCACATTATTAGAAATTTAGAATTTCTTAAGCATTTGGCACACAAGTCATTCTCTCAGGGGCCTACAGTTGATATAATTATATTGGAAACATCACCATAAACCATTATGAAGCACTGCCAATAAATGTGTCTTACATCAAAAGAAAAAAACTGCATTAAAATGGAGTCATTTGCTCTTAAAATATGCCACTGAAAAAATACACCAATTTCTAGCTAAGGCTGAACTCTAGTTTTTAAGAGTCTACTGAAGTTCACAATCTAGGAGTTAATAAATTCTGTAGACATTTATAAACATCAAAAAAGACTACTCCAGTATTACATAACTATTTTAACTTAAAACATTTTACATTTATTGTCTCTGATCTATCTTTACGTGCGTGCGTGCATGTGTGTGTGTCTCCTAGCAATCCATTTGCTCCCATTCAGTTTTCTCTTCCTGGCATCCACTTCCCTATTCTTTTGTATCTCTCCCATACACTAAACTGTGCATTCTGGGTATGTGGTACATTTTTCCAAACCAGTGGGGATTATGCTTTCCTGGCATTGGTATACTCCATGCTGAGGACCCCCAGCGAACACAGGCAGATGACAGGGTACATCTAGTCTGCACAAGCTCACATTCTAGATACCAAAGCAAAAAGAAAAGAACCATGCCAAGAGAGCCAATAGAGGGAAGCAATTCTGCTACCAGCAGCCAAAGATAACAGGCCACTTGCTGCTCATTCCAGTCATTCATTCATTCATTCATTCACTCACTCACTCTTACATTCATTCAGTAAATATTTCTGGAGCATCTCCTGTGTGCCAGATACTTTGCTAAGTGTCAGGCATACTAGGCTGAGCAAAAATAGGGTGATTCCTGTCCTCCTGGCATTGAGTGGTAGAGATAGCCATTAATCAAAAGTAATGTAAATAAATATAAAATTATAAATTGTGACATATTTAAATCCTTGCAGTGGAGCTCCCTCCGCCTAGCCCTCAAATCTTTGCAAGCTCTCTTTAGAAAAAATTATGCTTTGTCTTTGAAAATCATATGAGTGATACATACCATTTTCTTTAAAAAGACACTGAAGATATACACACAGTAAAAAGTGAAAGCCCTCTCTCCTTTCCCCAGTCCACTCCTGTCTGTAGAATAAACAAGTGTTAAGTTTGTATGTATCCTTCTGGGTTTTTCTATGCAGTGTAGTATAGTGATTAAAAGCATAGACTCTGGAGCCAATCTGTCTGAATTTGAATCCTGCCTCTGTCAATTGCTAACTGTATGACCTTGGCAAGTTACTTAACCTCTGTGTTCCATAACCTGTAAATGGGGATAATAGTACCTATCTCATAGGGACTGTCTTGAGGATTACACAAAATGATATACTTAAAGTACTTCTAACAGTGCTTGGCACATAGTAACTATTATACAAGTGATAATAATCATTATTTATATACATACATATTCACATGTACAGACATGAATATATTTTAATAAAAGTGGGAAACTTTTTTATGCATTTCACTTTGCTGACTTAACAGTACACCTTGGCTATCTTTCTGAGTCAGCATGTATGGATTCCCTGCATTCTTTTTGATGATTGCATGCCATAATCTATATGCCATACATGGCATTAAAATCACTCATTTAACCTTTCCTATATCAATTGCCATTTGGGTTGTTCCCACTTTTTGGCTCTTACTAACGATGTTGATAGCAAGACTCTTCACCATGGTGTCAGTCCCTGTGAGTTTGTGTGGCAACTTTGCTGGAAGACCTTTGAGGGTATTTGGAATCTAGTAACTGTATCCCCAAATTAGCAAAATAGTGGGAATTGTGGAAGACTTTGTTGGTTCTTCTGTAGCTCCTTCTAAAGGAACTGCCTTGGAAACCTGTGGCTGCCATGGCCTTGGGACCCTGGATTGTATTCACAAGCTGGATTCTCTTACATTATGAAGCTGTTCTTAGGGCTAATTTTAGAATCTCCTTAGCGAGAGGTCTCAACAACTCCTGAGAAGCCCAGCTTGACCTGTCGGGTTTCCCTGTGTTTCAGATCAGTGCTGAGTCCCCGACTGGCTTGCCATCACACAAAGGCGAGTTGGTGGTTTCACTGAAATACATCCCCGCCTCCAAACTCCCTGTTGGAGGTGACCGGAAAAAGAGTGAGTTTGGGGTGTGTGTGCTGGATTTAGCCCTTAGTGTTTTCTATGGGGTGTCTGTGAGATAGTGCAGCTGGTGGCTAGCACTGTTGGAGAGACCAGATTGAGAGGCTCCCTGGATCATCTTCTGGGGAAGATTCCTTTACTGAGTAAGGCTTTTCTGCATTGTTTTCAGCCAGAAGAGAATATTTTAGGGTTACCACTTACTTTTTTAGGCTATTAAACTGACTTGAACTTGGTCTAGCTGTGGCAAGCTATTAAGAGGGCAGAATAGAACAGAAACTTCGGGGGTGAGAACGGGTGGTTGCAAGAGGTAGTGAAGTATGAGGGACAGGAAGGTCAAGGTTGAGGAAGAGTGAATCAACACACCAGGCACTGTGCTAGTGACTGTGGATATGTAGATGAATAAGACATATTTGTCTTCCCCTGAAGAGCTTAGTTTAGCAAGAAAGACAGACAGGAAGAGACCACCGATAATGGGAGTCCTCAATTCTCTTTGGTTATATGTGGGAGAGCTTCAAAGAAGAAGTAAGGATGAAACTGGACTTAAGATTTTACCAGGAAGAAAAGGAAGTGGATGGGGTAGAAGGGCAGTTCCAGAAGAGATAGCAGGAGCAAAGGTTTTAAAACGGCATGGTAAATGCCTTTAAAAAGGCATGGTAAAGGGCTGTATGTAAGTAGTGAGGTAGTGACATGGGATCAAGATCAGTGGCACTGGAGTTACAGGAGTGGGGCTGGAATTGTTGATGAGGCTGGTGCCTAACTGAAACGGGCTTTGAACATAATGGTAAGGAGTTGAATTCGATCCATTTGTGCAATGAGAAGCCAGAGTTCTTAGAAAGATACCTGTAGCAAGGTCTAATCTATAGGACTTGGGGAATCAAAGAGATCCTCAAAAAGGGAGTGCAGAATGACTAGAGAAGAGAAGCAAGGACAACATTTTAAAGCATGAAGAGAGGAAGAAAAGCCAGTGAGGGTAGAGGGTTATTAGGAAAGATATTGAAGCAGAAAAGAGTGGCGTCGTCAATAGTATTGGGATATCAGGCCAAAGAGGATTGAGAAGACATGGTGCATTGGCGTTAGGTTGAGTATTCAGTGGGTAAGTGGAAGCAGAAGCCAGATTTCACCAGAAACTAGCCTGAGTGAATGAAGCAAAGAAGTAGAAGTAGTGAATGTGGGCTCTTTCTTTCAGGATACTTGTTGGTGAAAGAAAGGAGAAACATGGAGGATAGTTTGAGAAGGCAATAAGGGTAAAGGGAGATTTTATTTTAAAAGGATTTTTAAAAGAAGAAGAAGAAGAAGAAGAAGAAGAAGAAGAAGAAGAAGAAGAAAAAGAAAAGAAGAAGAAGAAGAGATATTAGTGTATATTTAGACTGAGGGGATAGGACTGGTAGAGAAAGATATTAAAAATGGGAAGTGGGGATTGAAATTGATGACATCTGATGAGTCCTATGAAGTGGGCATGGGATCAAGAACACAGGTAGAGGCGTTCCCTTTTTAAAAACTCTTCAACAAATTTCAGGCAACTTTATTTCTCTAAACTCCCATTTTCTCATCTATAAAATAGGAATAATAGTACATATCTTATACGGTTGCTTTGAGAATTAAATGCTTAATGTAGGATCTGGCACATAGCCAGTTTTCTAAAAGTATTTGTTGCTGTTGTCCTTATTAATTGAACACCTGTTGGTTACTGTCAGGCACTGTGTTAGGTCCTAAGCCTCCAAGTCAGGTGTGGTCCAGTTGTCACGAAGCTTGCTGCCTTTAGGGGCAAGGGATGGAAGGTGCTATATAGATAAAGATCAAGACAAATCTGAAGGTGTAGGGGCTCACTTGCTATGGCTGACATCCCTTACAGGTAAAGGTGGGCAAGGGGGAGAGCTCCAGGTGTGGATCAAAGAAGCCAAGAACCTGACGGCTGCCAAATCAGGAGGGACTTCAGACAGCTTTGTCAAGGGGTGAGTCCCTGGACCAGCATCAAACTAACCAGTTCTAGGACAAGAGAGCTAAGAGATGAACCCAATTTAACCTTTCTCTGTGGATATTATCCTTGTATATCCTACCACCTCCAGCAACCAACTTTGCTCCTGAAAATAGGTAACAGCAAAGCCTCCACAGCCACCTTTGTACTGGTCTAAGCTAAGTTTGGACTGTGACATAGTGTGGATTTCCAAAGAGGAGGGTGGTAAATAGGCTGGACTTTCCCTCTCTTATACACTTATGCTTTTAATTAATCCTGAATAAAAATCTGTGTCCCCTGACTATTAAGATTTAGGAACTCAGAACTTTGTTCTCCACAATATTTCAACAATGCCAGCTTTCCCCAAATTATACATCACCCCACTGACTTTTAAGGTCTCTTGAAAATCATGTTTGGCTAGGCCTATAGTTATTACTATTGATTTTATTTAAAGAGAACCTCATCCAATAGAAATGGAATCATGAGCACTGAGTGTTATATGTAAGTGATGAATCACTGGGTTCTACTCCTGAAGCCAATATCACACTGTATGTTAACTAACTTGGATTTAAATTAAAGAATGTAAAAAATAAATAAAAAAGAAAGAAAGAAACGGGATCCAATATCTAACACCCATGTCTGGTAGAGTGTAGATAACAGTTTACTATAACATTATGTTAATTTTCTCTCCAGGTTAAAGGAATTGAATCAGGTGAATGATCTAGTGGAGGTAGTGAGAACTCTGCTTCAGCATATTCAAAGGAGGGAGTGTGTGTACTCGGATCTGAATGTTGACTTACCTGCCTGGGCTAGCTAGGGAAAGGGGAATTTAGATAGATAGTTACTTGCCAGGTTTGAGTAGGTTGTTGATTACTTCCCATCTTCTGCCAGATACCTCCTTCCCATGAGGAGCAAGGCCAGTAAGCGTAAAACTCCTGTGATGAAGAAGACTCTGAATCCCCACTACAACCATACATTTGTCTACAATGGCGTGAGGCTGGAAGATCTACAACACATGTGCCTGGAACTGACTGTGTGGGACCGGGAGCCCATGGCCAGCAATGACTTCCTGGGAGGGGTCAGGCTGGGTGTTGGCACTGGTGAGAGCCTCTCTCCCATCCTGACTATTTTAAAGGCCTCTTATATATTTCACTCCTACTATACCCAGCCCCCTTCCTTCAAAGCTCCTCTATAACAAGAGTTGTCTTCTTTCCTTTCAGTTAACCTTTGGACAATATTTACTGAATGCCTACTATGTGCAGACCTAGGGGAAGGCTGAGCTCATGCACTGTTATCTGTACAGATAAATGTGACCCTGATGGCCAAGAATGCCATCATCCTACCACCAAAAAAGTCTAAAAACCTACCTGTATCTGTACTTATAATTTCCATCTTCCATTGTGTTATAATGAAAGAAGGGTCCTTTCTAGCAAAGGCCAAGCTCTTTACAAGTGTTCTGGATCACACCCTCACCTTCCTAACCTCACTTCTGGAATCTCTTCTCTCTCCTGTCTGATCACTTGCACTCTCTCTGCCTCCCTCCTGGAGGTGAACACAGATAACCTCTGGTATTTCCAATATTAAGAAACAGAAATAAATCTTTTATTGACCCCACATCCCCCTTCTAATTTCTTAAATTGTCTCTACTTCCTCACATCTCTTTTAGTGCTCAATCCACTGTGATCTGGCTTCTGTCTGACCACTTCACTGAGCAATTGCTCATGACAAAATTTTGTTTTCATCTTACAAGAATATTCATGCTATTTAATATAGCCGATCACTCCCGTTTTCTTTTTTTTTTTTAATTTTTTTAATGTCTATTTTTGAAGGAGAGAGAGACAGAGTGTGAGCAGGGGAGGGGTAGAAGAGAGGGAGACACAGAATCCAAAGCAGGCTTCAGGCTCTGAGCTGTCAGCACAGAGCCTGACACGGGGCTCAAACCCATGAACTGTGAGATCATGACATAAGTCGAAATTGGACACTTAGCTGACTGAGCCACCCAGGCACCCTGATCACTCCCCTTTTCTTAAAATACTTAGCTTCTACTGATACTACACTTTTCTTTGTGGGTTTCCCATTCTCTACCCATTCTAAATATTGGTGCTTTTCAAGACTTAGTCTTGAATCCTCTTTCCCCTCTCTATAGTCTCTGCATGCCTGCAGCTTTTAATACTACTTGTATATTAATAAGTCATACAAAGCATTTAACACAAAGTGTCTAGAATGATGTTTTTACAAATGTAAGCCGGGTCATATCAGTCTCCTGTTTAAAACCCTTCAGTGGCTTACTACTGTACTTTAGAAGACAGTCCAAAGTTCTTGCCATTCTGACAGGCCCCTATAGATTCTGGACCCTTTGTTCCTTTATGATCCATCCTATATCACTCTCTTGCTTGCTCAGCCATGTTCCAAGCACAATGATTCTTTCTGTTCTCCAAATATACCAAGCTTATTCCAATTTCATAATCTTTGCAATTATAGTTAACCTCAGTCAGGCTCCTTCCCATCTTTCAGAGCTTAACCCAAATGTCTCCTTGGACAGGCCCTCAGACCACTCCATCTAAACAAGGCCCTGATCTAGGCACTACAGATCATCCTGTTTATTTACTTCATGACATATATCTCATTATCTGAAGTATCTTGACTTGCTTGTATATTTCCTGCTTTCCCTGTCCAAATATAAGCTGCCTGCAAGGCAGAACTTTTTTTGTTCACCACTGTATCTCCAGAGCCCAGAAGAGTACCTGGTATACAGTAGGCACTCAATACATGTTTGTTGAAAGAATGAGTGTACAAAAGAATAGGAATGAGGCCACATACAATCTGAACTCTAGTCCTGGAATCTACAGCTAGAGAAAAAGGTGTTCAGCTGCTGCTGCTTCCTTTTTGTTTTTTTTTAATTTTTCAGTTAAGTTGGCAATAACAGCAGGGCAGTAGCTCTGGCATGAGGTGTCAGACACTTAGAGCTCTGTAATGGCCCCAGAATAAGAGGTCTGAAGCTACCATGTGCTGTTTGGAGTCCCATTTCATCAACTTGAAGTCTCCTGATAGAGTCTCAAGGGCACAGAAATAGCTTTTCGGGGTCAACAGGGAGCAGTTTACAGACTGTTGTCCCAGCAACCTATCTTCGTAGCACACTGTCTTTTACAGGATGGCTACCCTTGCTGTATAACCCTTCTTTTCTGGTGGGCTGTGGAGTGGGTTCCCTGTTCAGCTTCTTCTGGTGTTTCTCCTCAGGGATCAGTAATGGGGAAGTGGTAGACTGGATGGACTCGACTGGGGAAGAAGTGAGCCTGTGGCAGAAGATGCGACAGTACCCAGGGTCTTGGGCGGAAGGGACTTTGCAGCTCCGTTCCTCGATGGCCAAGCAGAAGCTGGGCTTATGAGCCCCTGTCCTTCTATGCAGGTCTTGTCCTGTCCAGGGCAAGTCAGAGGAAGCGAAGAAACCAAGAGCAAAGATTTATATTTAGTGTATGTATGTGTGTGTGTGCATGTGTGTTATGTATGTGTGTGTAATAAACATATATTTCTACAAATCTCATTATGTTAGAGTGATGAAAGTTTGTTCCTCTTTTTAAAGCAGGCTCAAGAATAAGGGTCTGTTTAAAATGTTTTCATTTGTGCATAATCTAGTATATTTCCAGAGTCCATTCTTTTATCTTTATGATGTTTAATTAGCTTAAAAATCCTTTAAAACAAGTTTTTATCTCTTGTCTTGTAATTCCTTTCCTACTTCCCCAGGAAGCCCTGTCTACCTTTGGCATTTGTATAGGTCTGAGGCCAGGGCTCTGGGAAGCAGGGTTGGGTTACTAAAGACAGGAGAAGATGGGAGAGAGGTGAGTAGGTCTGCCCTTTCCTTTCCAATTTATGTTTTGAACTCTATTTTTACCTTGATATATTTCTGGAACTTGGTTTTTAACTCTTATTGTTTTTAAGCAATTTCCATATTACTTTGGTCTAATTGTTTTCTTTTAAATGCTAAGAAAATTCCTGTTTCTTCAAGCTCCCTACACCTTCCCTAGACCTTTAGGGGACCCTTATAATGGAGCTTCTTTAGAAAAACACTTTAATTAGGTAGTGGCCTTTTGACTGAATCACGGACATATCCACAATGGCTTCTCAGCGGTCTCATAGGACCAGAGGGACTGACAGTGAAATGTCTCTCAGCCCATGCTGGATCTTTGCATTTTATACAGATACAGCTCTTGTTGGACAGCTCCTCATTTCTCTAATAAAAGACAAGATATCGTCACTCTCATATACCACATCTTTCTTAGCATTTGTGTCTGCAGTGTGGTACCACACAGAATATGATGGACATACCATTACACCAGCCAGAGTAGCCAAGTACTGTCTAAACTGGCCCAGTGTTTCTCCAGACTGGGCACGGTTAGGGCTCCAAGAGAATATGTTCAGAGAATCTCCCCCAGTTATTCTGACTTCCTTCGTGAAGTGGTTTCACTTTCTATTTTTTCTGTTGTTTCCTATACTTGACCTAGATGTAACATGGGTGTGGTGTGCTGAGACCTTTCTAAGAAGGGTCTGGTGATCTAAGGTTCATTTTCTGAAACTCACTGTACCAAACTGACCTTGTTATTCTTGCAACAGTATCTACACAGAGTTGTTTGTAAAAGGAGTGTATACTGGAGAAGAAATCCCTTTTGGTAGAGTCTGCTAGCTGACTCTCCTATAAGGCCACTGGACTAGGGGTGGCTGCAGTGGTTTCTATTGTACATGTGAACTGAATAGAGGAGTGTTTTTAAAAGGTTTGGTGTGGGTGTGGATTAATATTGTAATAGAAAGCATCATTTGGGATCCTGGGCTGTAACTTGCTCCTTTGTTCTCTACCCCCTGAAATGTATGTGTGCTTCAATAAAGCTTTTTCACCTGTCAAGTGTTTGCATTTGTTAGTTCTGTAGATGCTTTTCTTTCTGATGTCGTCACTTACTGTTGTTGCTGCTCAGTGGATTGAAGGAGAAGACCCAAAGTGACAAATGCCCTTCCATAACCATTCTGTGCATATCGAAAGAAAATTTCCCTTTCCCTACATTGCTGCCTGATACCTCTGCCAAACTCTGATCCATTGACCTTTGTGTTTGGTATCTATGGAGAGAACTGAGAATTCTTCTTAAAAGTGCATCACTTTTCTTTCTCTCTCAAGTACCAAGGGAACTTTTCCTTTAGCTCTGTAGCCCCGTACCACGAGGAAGGAGAGAGATGTGCACAGGGGAAGGAAGATGTTGTTTGCTGTGTTTCTTTCTGGATCCTTCAGTATTTATAGGAGGTGGGGCCTTTTTTCCCCTTTGCTCCTACTATCATCATTTAGTCTTGAGAAATAATTAACACATATACTAAGCAGCATTAACAACTCAGGCAACAACAGACGTTGGCGAGGATGCGGAGAAAGAGGATCTCTTTTGCATTGTTGGTGGCAATGCAAGCTGGTGCTGCCACTCTGGAAAACAGTATGGAGGTTTCTCAAAGAAGTAAAAATAGAACTACCCTATGACCCAGCATTGCACTACTAGGTATTTAT